CCAACATCACGAACAGTTTTACGATACCATTCATTTTCAGATGTCATGTCATCATCACATTCAGATAACATGCCATTAGACAATGTCGACATTGGCAAATCTTTTGTCTCATCATTGATTTTCATCAATATTGCTAATGTTCGATTTTCATCGTAGGAATTCAATCGTGCTAATACATTGGTTTTTTTCAGTCGCTGTTCATCTTGATACATCTTTTCTATTTCTTGACTTTGTTCTCTTAAAATGATATCAATACAATGAATATTTGTCGTATTATATTGTTTCATTACATATTTGATCAATTCTTCTTTGTAACCAATGCCGATGAGACTTGTTGATAGAATCGAATACGTAGGAGCAACTAGATTATCTAAAGTATATTCAGGTGATTGGATCAATTTTGTCAATGACGAACGAAGAGTATCGGTTGATTTATTCCAAAATCCTATCGATCGACATTCAATTCGTAATTGATTATCATCGGTAATGTTCTTAGTCAAATCTATCTCTCGAAACAGATCGATACGTTTCAATTTTGTTGCAAATTGATCCTCGGTAATTGATGCCTTAAGTTCTAACGAACCGTTGACATAGATACTGACAGATCTCTGTTCAACAGAAATGAGCAAACGAATGTATTCTTGTAATTTCATCATTGATGGACTTTGATGTCCTCCGGATAGACAAATATGACCGTCATGTGTTAGATAAATTTCTGATTGTGTATCCAATGTCAATAATGTTAATCGGGTCTGATTATTCAATGCACCTGATTGACCATTTGTTGATAGAAAATTAGGTATCAAAATATCGAGAATCAACGTATATTCGGACCATACTTGGTTTGCAGTGTTTAAAACTAGATAAGTTTTATTTCCGAATAATTGTACGACCGATCGATTAGTTCCTGGTATTGCCATAAAATAGGTTGATTCATCATGATCAACGAATTGTTTTCTTCTCTCCCATAGATTCTCTTCAAATGGTTCATTGAATGGAACTAGTGTTTCATTTGTAAAATATTTTTGCTCTGCCCTAAATATGAATGTATTTACTTGTTTGCGATATTCATTCAATTTTTGATAATCGACAGCAACATACAAGAGACCATATATGAAGAGACGTCGAACATGTTCTTCCGATAGTGTATATTTCCATACTCCCAGATTTCGAATTCCGGCATTTGTATTTGGTAAAAGTCGTAGATTCAATTTTGATTTTATTGTTGGATCAAAACTATGATAATAATTTAACATTTGATATTTATTGTTAATGTAAACTTTTGTTTGTTCGTTTGTTTGAAACAGGATAGCAACACGCTGTCGATATTTCATTGTTTCATCAATAAAATCATCATCCATATCATTCATATATATTCGAATAGAAAACATTTCGTTCTCTAAAGCAAATAATATAATATCGAGTTCATCACGACTATTTTCCATGTCATCTATTGGAATAATTTCAAAATCGAAACTAATAGTCAACGATTGAGAATTATCAATCGACAATGGGAAACCATAATTATCTTTCGATAGTTTTAATAGATGATGATCAGTTGTTATCATATCGATATTGAATGGAACTTCAAAATGATGATCATTGACAAAATCACGTATCAAAGAAGTTTTCTTTTCAGTTGAATTATGCTTGAAGCATCGACTCGTATAGAAATATTGATGAATATCATTACCAATGAGATAGGCACTAAACGGATAAGCGACTAATATATTTTCCATTGTCATTAATGTCGGCATTAATAATGGCTTGTAACCTTTCGGTAAAGGACATTGAGTCATGTCTTCTGGACTAAATATAAACTCAAAAGTACCTGTATTATTCTCATTACAATAGACTTCTACATTAACAGCAGGAAAATAAGTAGTATTAAGTCCATTGCGCAATAAATTTGTTTTGATGGTTGATTTTATAGTAGTGTTTTCCGAATGTGAAAATGCCGTACCCAATAGTTGACCATTTAACCAATATTTGATAATCGTATTTTCTCCATCGATTTCAATACCACAACCACAAACGTCTTCTGATTTCCAGCGAATGTCATCACGAAAACTATTTGAGGTATAATAATGACAATATCCTGATGATCCATCATAGCTCCATGAAAATTCATCGTCACCAACACGTTTTAAAGTATCTGGTATAAGATTAAATCCGTTCGTTGCCCAGCCAATTCGTGCTGTACCACCTAATGGAAGTTTAACACAATAGTACCATTTTCCTTCGGTCAAATTTATATTATCAATAATATAGGTCATATGGTAAATATTTCCAGTATCATCAGTTATTTTAACTCTTCCTTTGAATTTGTGCTTATCACCACATTCTTCTAATGCCGGCAGATTATCTTTGGTAGATAGAGGAACAATACGAATTTCATCATTTCCAATTCTGCCTCGTTTATATGATTGTATTTCGCTTTTAGATGCAATAGATTTCCATCCTTCATCCATCGAACTCGTCGCAGATAGATACTGTAGAATAATGTCATCACGATTAATTTTTATCTTATTCCATCTGTTTATATTACGAATAATTTCAATTTCATCTTCCACGATTTGTTTTGTTCTCTCCCATTTATCTAAACTTAAACTATATTGTTCTAAATGTAATCGATTAAACAATCGTAAATCGTTCGGTTTTATACTATTGTTTGTATGAAGATTATTAATTGATATCGATAGTGTACCAATAAGAGATACATAAGGTTTTTGCATAAAAATATCGACAATTGATTTATGATTTAATAATGCATAGAATGCTATTATAGCATGACGTTTTATTTGTAATAACATCAATGAATCAGTTTTCGATGTATCAGTTTGCGCTAGAAAGCCCAATGTATCAAGAATAGCATGAACTGCATTATCTATTGGTAAAAGTACGAGATTTGGTGGTGGAATATCGGTAATGATATGTAATTGATTCGATGAAATAGATTGGATATGATTTGTTGTAGCATATTGTATGAGATACGGTGTAACATCAGATGAATTTGACTCAAGAGCATTTGTATTGATTTCAATAATAGTTCCAGTTTCTGATTCATGAATATTTTTATCAACTGCATAGATATCTACCGTTGATCCTAAACAATATGGTTCAATATAACCACCTAAGATACATAATGATGCGAGAAAGAAATTCATTTGTCGTATTTCAACAGATTCTAATGATGTCCAATTGAAATTCGTACTTGATTTAATTGCACCGATAACTAATTTAGTTGCTATTTTTTGCCATGGTGAATTTTGTGACATTATGGTACGATAGATATAAATAAATTCAATGGCAATATCGAGATCTATTTTATTTGTTTCCAATAAATTAAAATTCTGACCAATAGAAAATAAAATATCCGTTAATAAATTTTCAACAAAACATCGACATGTTGTATCGTTCGTATTGTCTGGTAAGAAGACTAATAGATCGCGTAGAATTTTTAATGTTAATAGACGAGTATTAAGAAATTGATTTTGATGATATAAATTTAATAGTTGTTGAATACAATCCATTGTAGTACAATTTGATCGAATATGATCATACAAATGAATACAACGAAGGAGAAGCATTAAATATTGATTGATACAAGCATTGACATCAAACGTTGATGATGTAATAAAATAACTGATGGAAGCATATTTTAACGATGGATTTTCGTGTTCTTTTTCAGATGTTGATGTTGATTTGTTTTGCTGCAATTGTTTGAGTTCAGTTAAAATTAGTTTATTAAAAATGAGATCACGTTGTTGTTGTAAGATATGATGAAATTTTCGACTACCAAAATAGTTACTTCGCAATTCTTCTATTTCAATATTGTCACATAATTTTAATACAAGTAGACGAAACCAGTTGAATGCCGTAAGTTTCATATCCTTTGAAATGGTGGTAGTAGAATCTATTTGAGCAAATCTAACAAATAAATTAAATAGTTCATCAATAAATTGAAAATGATTTAAATGACATAAATCCATCGAATCATACGATAGATTTAATAGATTAAATAAACAGAAAGTGAACACCGTTTTCATATCGGCTTCAACTGTAGGTTCAATTGAGAATGATAATACTTTTTTGACAATTGAATAGTATCGATGTCCAATATCTTCTTTCAATTGATTATTCGATGCCTGAATATTTTCAAGATAATGCCAATCTAAACTATTACCTTTTAAATTCATTAAATTGATAACTAGAATATTTAAAATTCGATTATTATCCTTAATAGTGATTACTTGTTCGATAAATCGATAAATAAATGTATATGTAATCCATCTAGTCATAGCTCGTTGATATTGTCGAATCAAACATTTGACAACTTCATCAGATTGAATTTGGAGTTCACTATTGACTGCAGATGTCGATATATCATTTCCAAATAGACAAGTAGTAATAGCTCGATGCATGACACTTTCACTATCCTTCTTTTGTTCGATGGCTTGTTTTTTTGCCAACATCAAATACTTCAATCGTATACAAGCCTTCAATACATTACGAAGTAATCGAATAATATATTTTGCTTTAGTCCAACGTGATTTTTGTCGTTGTAATTTAAAATGATTGGTAGTGATTATTGGTAATGAAAAATCTTCTTTAATTGTTGAAATGAAAGAACTCTCTTTGACTGATACGAGTAATAATAATGTATCGCTCTTAATTTTTTTATAAAGTTCATCACAATCACCACCTCGAGCTTTGGTCATAGCAAAAATCGTTCTTACTTGATTAGCGTATTCATAGAGTGAGAGAAGTTTAGCATGTGGTTT